AGTGATGTGCGGATTTTCGGGAAATTTGTTACTAAAAATTTGGAAGTAAGTACCTTAGATCACAAATTTGATTACTCAACGAAATGCCAAAACAGTGTGAATAATTGAATGTGAAACATAATTCAAATCATTATATTATTTGTTTACGATCTTATTTGAAAATATTGGCACCAATGGAAACGCACATTGGGTAGTTGCTATGGATACGAAACTAATAATGCCTTGAAACTTTGCACTACTCACTTATTGCACTGATACTGATGATGATGATGTAGAATTATGCTTCTGCAGTTTTTAGAATGGTTTTTTAGAAAACAAATAGCCTCACTACCCCACTCTTATGTTCATATCTGCCTCCAGGTACGTCGTGGCCCTGATACTTCAGTAATGTTAGTTGGCATTAATATAATAGAAGACGCCGACTTACTAAGGACAGTCCGGTTAAACGATCGGTTACAAAAACCTCGATTTTGGTTGTAGTGAGGCTTCTTATTCAAAGTTGCAAAATTGTTCAGGTGTTGTATATTCATGTAGAATAATCTAATTACTGGGAATCATAATAACCACATAATTAATTATAAGGTAGAGTTATTAAGTTACTAAATAAAGTGTAGTAGTCACATTTTAGACTTTGTACAGAAAGAAAGACTTTCCATTTCCAGCTGTTGTAGACGGGGGCGACAGGATCTGCTCAAGATAAGTTTATTGAAAAGGATTCCAATTATATTCTAAATAGAGAAGGCCTGCCGAGGTCAGGACGCCCGAACTTTGACGGGGCAAGGGGTCGCGTTCCTAGGGGTTTATCGTGTCCTCTAAATGGATCCAGAACCACGCCTTGGGACGACACGTAAAAAGCCGTCACTGACGTCACAGTGGTGATATCGGGGATTTGCTTATAACCAGTGAATTTCGAAGACGCATTGGACGTTTCACGTTACTCGTCAGGCGGAAACTCTGCTGGTCTACTCTTTTATATATATTCAACATTGTGTTTCACACGAACTGTACTCATCTCAATTATCAAATAAATCATCAGCATTCGAACGTCTTCTCGTCAGACTAGGCATTAACCTTAAGCTGTGTAACCGAACCTACCATCGTTCCTAGTCGCTCGGGAATATTGCACTCCAGCGGGACTGGCCAATCCCCCGGGATACAACAGACATGTAGCACGCATAGGAGAGACGAAAAATATATACAAAGTTCTGGTCGATAAACGTGAAGGGAAGAGACAACTTGGAAGACATAGGTTTAGATGACAGGATAATATTAAAATTGATCTTTGAGAATTAGGGTTTGAGACTGCGGAATAGATTAATCTGGGTCAGGATAGGAGCCGGTGACGGGCTCTTGTGAATACGATGATGAACCTTCGGGTTCTGTACAAGAGGGTGAATGCAGAGACAAGCTGAACGACTGTTAGCTTCTCAAAAAGGGCTGTAGATACCCTTTTTATATGTATCAATCCATGAATTACTACAATGCATAAGAATTTTATTTTTTACGTTGCTCTCTCTGGGAATTACAACTGCCTTCTGTCACGCGATGTTGTCGTTGAAGCGTCCTTAGCAACGACCAGGTAGTAATATAGACACAAACAATGAAATGAAAGTTTGTTCGACTCAAACAGCGACCAGTAATATCGATAATATTCAGCGACAACCACAAATTACGAAGGTCCTCATTATTCATTTTTCTTCCAGCCTTTTACTTTTAAAAGCAATTTCAGACTTTAACCTTACTAATGATTCTGTCCTGTACCGACGTTACAGAGGAACATACTGCCTCCATCTTGAGGACTGAAGTGAGTTTATAATATCATGAATATGGAAGCGGTAAGTTGCTCCGAAACATCAGCAACAACCTACAAGACTACACGGCGACACAAACGAGAATGCCCCAATCCACAATCGGCATAGGAAGTCGAAAAACTCGCAACAAGTTTGTAATTGTTACGAATGAAATAAGTCGCGCGCTGTATAAACAGCGAGTGACTTGTTAAAATTTGTAAATATTAGAACAGGACTAGGGAAGGCTCACTAATCAAACCAAAGGGCATTTTGCGCTTTCGGTTTATCGTGTGCCCCCTCGTTTCCACTCACGCCGATCAAAGAAATTGCAAGCCGCCGACTGTCGGTCTTTTCCTTGTCTCGATGATAAAGTTTTTGCATTGGAAAGTTCTTTGCTTGACTCGATGACTCGCTTTTCTTATCTTGAACTTCGAAATTTGAAGGGACGACGAGTGAGGTATTCCCTTGCAGCTGGGTAGCCGCTGGATCGCCTTCAATAACATTTTCATCCTCTTTGGGTAACCGAGGTCCGAAAGCCGCTGTACCAGACGACTGTTTAAGCTGATTCTGAGATTCCGCTATTTCTTTCTTCTTTTGTTTCATTTCTTTGAATCTGCCATCTGTGTTTTGAAAGGCAAAACTAACAACGGGGCCTTTAACGAACTTTGGTTTCAATACGTTGTAAGTTCCTTCCCTGGTGAGTTTCTGTGCATTGTCGTCATTCGACGTCACTGAAATGGAATCACGACTTTCTGACACTTCATCGTCACTGTTATTTATTGGTTTAAACTTTTCTCCAATGGCCGGCAAAGGCTCATATGGAGATAATATTTTTTGCCCCCCTGTTGAAGTTGATGGCCTTCTGATGTCACTGGTCTCAGACAGAATCTTGTAAATATCGTCCTGGGTGGGGATGCGTCTCAGGTACGGCTGGCCGTGTCGCCCGACGTTTCGGCTATCATCTGAGAAGAACGGCTTGCTGCTGGAGCTCGTATCTGTAAGTGATTTACTTCGTCCTGTCAATCGTTTGCTTTTCTTCTTCCTCTTAGATGACATGTCAGTGACGCCAACTTCAGAACTCAGACGACTCCTTCCTAGGACTTCAAGGTCTTTCACAGAGCCGCTGCTAGTTTTTACCATCATTCTCGTGACAATTTCTTTCATGTAATAAAGGTGTGAACGCTTTCATACTGTAAAGAAACGATGTACAGCAAATAACACTTTATTTTTATTTGAAACTGTAAAGTCAAACAATCCATTCGGCCATTGTTGGAAATGTGATGCTATCAGACAGATAAAATCAAAGTTAAATGTAATAAACATGTTCCCTACGATATTGGGGCAACGTAGAATTATACGAGGCTTAATGACGATGCGAGTATAGCCATTTCACACGCAAAAAACAAAATGTAATTATTCTTGTTTCATTTTATATAATTAGAATATTCTCTTACCTTCATAAACATTATGAGACATAATCATTTATGATTACTTTTCTGCCGTATGCTGTCGTCACTTATTTATGGCTGTCAGATGGCAAAGTCTGACTTGGCATAAAATTGTACACTGCACGCACATCTAAACAGAGAAGTGACTACGAATGACTCAGAACGTTTCTTCCTGACCTCAGCAACATGAACTAACACCGCAAGGACAAACCTGGCTGCCGGAAATCAATTCCTGTGACGTTCTTTGTCATAGACTAGCCCCTGCCACATAGCCTACTTGGCAATACACCGCCCATCCGAGATCGAACAAAAACAAGCGAGACATAAAAGAGCAGTTCTTAACTAAATGACGGTCAACATTTACTTGCGTTGTAACAGACGGGGCTGAAAGGAAGTAGTATTTAAATATCCACAATCTTTATTTCTGACAAAGGAAACGCGTATTATTCCAAAGTTTAAATAAGTAAGGGTGCAGCTAATGCCTTTGTCAGGGAAGGCTCATTTTCAGTAAACATGACATGCACAGGAATGTTAATGGTGTAACATTTAGGACTCTACAAGAAAAGTCAACAAACAATGGAATGTTGTACATGTAACTTTCAAACGGCCGAAGCAACAATAAAGCACAGGACAGTGGTTTGCAGCCTGTGGTTCGAGAAACACTGCAGATTGTTTGGCTAGCGACATCTTTCCACCTACTTCCAAGTTGAAGAAACTTCCATACAACCATGCAGATGTTCCTGTCGGAAGTTACAAGGTTTCTCCGATCGCTAATTAAGTAGCTAGAAATCTACCCAGTATCACAACCCAGAAGACCAAAAGCGTGTTCACGGCTGCAAAAACCTCAAATTAATGTAACCACTATTGTCTTTTAGTTCAACATTTAAAACCCACATTCTCAAAGACTTCACGCACCCCTGACACAAAATCATAAACACACTTAAAACGATTGTCGGCGAGGTACACTTCTCGGAAACTGCAAATGGGGGAGACAGCGATCTGCAAGATCAAAATGTCATCCGATTTACAGCATTACCCGCACTTTTCACAGAGCGTGTTGCGACTTCACTTCTAAACTTGCGAGGCTCAGATAAGCCACGCAAACCACTCACTGCAGCCACAAGACCAACACGAAGTGAAATGCCTAGAAAAGCAAAAGAAATGTCAAGCAGGCGGAGGAGACCGTCAATCTTACAAACACAGCGGCAAGTTAAATCAAGATATTGTACCTTTATTGGGTATTTCTCTTAATTACAACTTACAAAGCAAAAATGAAGCTAATATATAGTAATTAATATGGGAGTGCCATGAGTATTGTGGTCGGACAGTCCTTGATATGCATTTCCGACATCAGTGGTGGCAACAGTCCCAATAAAACATATATATCATACATTTTATTATAATAACTTCTCTCATACTATGTCATGCCATATTTTTTTTAAATCACAATTCAAGTGACATTTTCCTATTACTTTCTTCTCTTAATAAAATCTCAGTAAGTATACAACTATGCCTACACTATTAATAAAAACAAGCCGAGCGGTTTGTAGGGGAAACACACTGACGACAGAAGACGGCAACATTCTCGTCTCTCTATATATGATTTCTCTTCTTAAAATTCTGAGCTGCCTTGAATAACTGAGGGGTGGGACTGTGGGAACCATGTTCCAGGTGTCACCACTGGCAGGAACATGGCTCATCCAGCCGGCGGTTTGCGCGCTGGTCCCGGAGAAGACCCGCTCGCTCCCGCGCGTCTCTCAAAATAAATGGCTTCCTTACACCTAGTGAACAATTCATACAGATGTAACACACAGATCAAGCTAACACGGGTACAGATTGGGTGGATACAACGCGGGCGACTTGGCGTCGCCCGCGTCGCGTCACATCGAGAAGGCGGAGTGGAATGATGGGCACCTCGCAAAAAGTTCAAATGGGGGAAACGACCATCGAACTGTTCTAATCCAGACATGTAGACATAGAAAATTCATTAACTTTTTTGGTCTCTTTTACAAAAAGCTACACAAATAACCCTCAAAATTTCAGTATTTCAAAAATGCTTATATAAAATGTATTTATAATTTTTCTCTTCATTGTTTTGCACCAGAATGAACACCACCACAGCAGGGGGCAGACCGCTTCACTTCGTCTCCTTCTCCTCTTTCTGTTTGTTCTCTTCCACATCCTTCTCCAACTCCTTCTCCTCCTTTTCAGACTGCAAACAGAATGTACCCCCAGCGTCAATAAATATGCATCTACAATAACCTCACTTCACTTTTCTGCTCTGACAACGAGCGAACCCCACCTTTTCTATCTCCTTTTCAATTTCCTTGTCACCTTCTTTCTCATCTTTCTCCTTTTTGTCCTCCTTATTCTCTTTCTCCTCTGATGGTGGTTTTGGCAGATGAGAATTGAGGTCCAGTGTCTTGCAGATGTCCTCCCAGTCAGGGAAACACCTGAAACAACACACGCGATCAGACTACAAGTAATCCTCGCTAATGCCCAAGGAATTCCAAACACTTTATGAGAGCAGAGCCGAATACTACAAACGACACTGTAACAGTAGTCTCGACTACTACGCACCTAACACGATGCAGATGTCAAACTCGACAAATTTCCGGCTATATGAAATGGCACGTGCAAAATTCGGGTTAATATTATATCCCGTTCCAACGACAAACACATTACAAAGCCACTCATAAGTGAGCCACGTACCTCTCCTTCATCCTGTTGACATGCCCCACCAGATTCGGACAGCTGTCCTGCATGTAGTCCCGTAGCGTATACTGCACCTCCTTGTCTATGAAGTAAATCTGCGCGAGGCTTGCAAATGCCACGACGTCCAACTGAAATACACAAGCAACAACATGAACAACCGCGCTTCCACGTCAATTCTACGCGGACACATCATCTCTAGGTACTCACTGTAGTGGGCTCGTCACCGAAGAAGAACGGCTTGTCAGCCAGCATGTCAGACAGGACCTTCAAGTCGTTCTGGCCAAATTCTATGATTTCCTCTGGCTTGTGGACACCCATGCCTTGTGCCTTCACTTTCTTCGCTCCCTGAAAATGTACATCAGAAATCCACTCTGTGAAACATTTTGATATGAACCAATTAGTGACAACCGAACTTCACACCCCACCTGCCACATCGTGGAACCATAAGCCATTTCACGAAAACAAACGCCGGGCACACTTAAAATCATTTGTCAGATGCCAAGCTCACATACTTTCGCTGGCTACCATAACATGAATAGAGCCACCGCGTGGGGACAGTGTGGTCTTGGGGTTGAGATACTCAAATCTTCTCATCCAGAGGATGCTGAGTTTGATTCCCACACCTCTGTGAAAGATAAAAGTTTGGGACACCCCAACTTGGTTCAGAACCCACATTAAAACTGTACGTTTCCTCTGATGACCATCTTTGTAATCACCCCATCACCAGGGTAACAGAACCTGTACTATGTGCGCCAACCTCAGAAATTGACTCTAAACTTGCATGGGATCAGGAGAGGTCTCCACAGAGAATACCTAGGGGCATTAGAAACATTTTTGCAACACATATTTCTAGAAAAAATGGATGAACGATAGTTAGTCTGTTGTGACACTGCGCATCAAACAAATCTGATCTGGGACATACCAAGAAAGCGCACTTTATGTAGATAAGAAAATGAAATCACGCAGAAGTTCCAGAAATAAAATCCGAAACAGAGCGATTCTGAGTTTTCGCAGTAAAAGCCCCACCACGCACCTTGCGGGCGAATGTTAACTTGAAGAAGAAATTGAGTATTCCGTTGGGGATCCTGGTGCCCAGTGCGTGCTGCAAATTCATTTTGTAGCCCTTGATGGCGTTGTCTGGAAACTTGGTCCGCCACCATGCCACCACCCTGCAGACATGGCAGAAAACTGTCAGTTACAGTTCCAAAAAAGATGAGACACCCCTCACCTATTATACATGGCAGACAGACAATAATTCACACACGCGTGTAACATACGTGAAAAAGATGCCTACAAGCCTTCTCGGCCTGATTTAAAATCATAAGGTAAGGCACAAAATAGGATACGCGCTACAGCAACAGTGTTACAAAATCCATATCGTCCAAAACAGATCAGCGGAGGACACCATGAAGTTTGTAGAATACGCATTTCAAACGGCTAAGAAGTGACAAGGACAGTTGTCTGTAAACCCACGGTCAGAAGAAAGAAATACAATGTTCTACTAACTGTATTTTTCACTCACCAGACCAAATGGTTCTCGATCATGGAAATCATAGCGTGCGAGACGTTCTTCTGGTCATTGCTGAGGCCTGCATCCAGATCCTTCTCGAATCGCTGAGCTAATTCTTTAAGGATGATGGCGCTATCTGCAATCTCCTCGCCATTCAGTTCGACGAAAGGAAGTTGGCCCTTTTTTGACCGAAACTTCATCTTGTGGTCCACATTCTGTAATGAAATCATTCTATTAACATTCTGCTGCATGTTCCAGGCCCATAGTTCGAGCTAATCGGCAGGAATCTCTCAGGAAATGGATTATGAACTCTAACTAATCACACACCGAAACAAAACTCATCATTTTGTCTTTTGCCCTCCTATATCTTGAGCATATTACAGCTTTATGAAGTTTCTTAGGCAAAAATTACATTCCTGGGTGACAAGTTCCAAAAGAAAGCACGGACAAAGACCTACTAGTAGACGCAGACAAACCCGGAGAGCATTCAAAATGAGGAGGACTGAACGGGGCCAACACCCAAATAAAACTACACCTCAGTCTAGTGCTGATACAGACCACGAATGTAATTTAGTTGCATAACGGAAAGACTTAGGTAGCACCACACCATCGCAGGATTTGAGGTTTTCACGGCGGTGAGACTGAAGATTCCTGTCCTCTGGGTCGTTCCGCCGTGCAGTCTGGTAGATATCCACCAACGTTTCAGAGGTCCATGCTGCCTCAATCATCAGGGCGACCATTAAGATATATGGAGGAGTGAAGGCAAAGCTCCATGCATTCTTAACCTCAGCTCTAAACGGTAAATTGTACAGACTGATAGAGGGTTCGTAGGTCATTGACCAAGGGCTGGAACTTACAAATATTCTTAGCCGAAATGACACAGTTTTTTTCTTGGACAAAATCCTCTCAGGCATGGACATGCTAATGGTTCTCACTTTTAGACAAATCTGCTAGTAGTTTTCAATTACCCCAGCTGCCTTCAAACTTGCAAACAATAAAACAAAGACATCTTTGTAAACTTCAAGATTCACAAAAGGCATTTCTCTTTCTGTGCCACTGCTTTGCTTTACCCCTGCTGCTACAAGACTGAGGCTGGTCAGAACTATAAAACTGGCCATTTGTTTAAAAACTAGAAAACAAAGACATTCACCACATATGACCAAGCAAGAACACAACGCCACGATGCAGAATTCAAGATTCGAGGGTCCCAGGTTCGTATCATGACCAACCAGTGCGTGGGCTATGCCCCACTTGAGGGTTCTCGTAATTACGATCAGTTCTTCTGGACGTAGAACCGCCAGTTCCATTGACACGCGGTGTGAGAGTGTTCCTTCTTACATCGCATTTCTGTGGTCGTCTGCGCCAGTCCCCACGTGACCCATCGCGTAAACTAAATCGAGCGTCGGAACAATTGAATGACGTGCGTCCATAATTTGACAGACGCCGTATCAATCCCATCTGTTCTATTAATAAGACGCACGGAGTTTGTTGTGGCCAATCTGACAGGTTTTAACGTCCCATCTTTGTGTTGCGATCAATGCTGTGGTTACTATGGCAACGCGTGCTGTCGGGTGGGCGGCAGGACGGACGGACGGACGGACAGACGCGACTGGCTGGGGAAGCAGCAGTATTGATCTACGTACCCCTGGCCGGAGCGCTAGGGGATGAAACAACCCTTAACACTCTGCTTGCAGCGAGACGCACCATCTCACCCGCTACGAACCCGAGTCTCCCGGCTGTAACACGAGGGCTGATCCCCCACCCAGAGTGAAGGTTGAAGTAGCAGAAGGCGACTAATGACAACGGTCACACCCCGGCATCTTTATTTTCGAGTAAAGAACCCGGTAGTCACTGGACAGGAGGCTGGGTGGGTCCCAGCGACGGCGGGGCAGAGAGAAATCGACGCTCCTGTCGGGAATCGAATCCCGGTCGTCCAGTCAACAAATGGATGACATCCATAAAATGATCCGTTCCCTCGTCTCATGGGACTCTGACGACATAAACCGATGTTCCCGGCGCTTGGACCGTAAACAGAACGCGTCATGTCCGATTATAAAATCATGATTTGTTTAAAAAAAATGATTCGACGTATTTCGATGACGAAATTTGGTACTGACGTGCGTAAAGGAGATAGTAGTAAAAGAATGTATGGGCCCATAACCCATATTCCACGGGGCAGAACAAAGTCGGTATGTACAAGGCGTCGTACAAACGAAGGACAGGAACGTAGTGGAGGCGGTGTGACTGGCACGTAGCCTGGTTGCCGTCTATACCAGATTCGTGTCTGTAATAAATCAACGTAAGATAAACCGCAGATGCAACACCGGAATCAACAGATTTAGAAAATACGTGCATTCCAACTGGAGCTACGTCTTACCAGGCGTGTTTAATAAACAAACCTGTTAGGAAGTGTGCGCACCGCGTAACAACTGCGAAGACTTTCAAAATGGCTGTTAATTATCTCCAAATCAGTAATACGTTAAAGGTGTAATAACGCACAAAATGCTTCATTTTTGGGGGGAGAGGGGAACAAATTTCTTTCGAAATATCTTCGGTGCGATAAATATTTGGCGAGTTACAGTCCAGATGCGAGCAGGAAACACAGGCATTGTCTTCCCCTGCTGTAGGATCTTAAGTCTTTATTTTTTTTTTAGTGTTCTGTGTGACGACAGGTCCATATGAACAGGATCCTTCCATCCTTTTCTCGGACTGGGACCTGTTCATATACGTTCTTGGCAGATGATACAGAAGTGGTTTGCCATTGCCTTCTTCTGTGTGTGAATGGAGTAATTGTTGGGATGCCACGGAGAAACCGGGGAAGCCCCCGGAGGAAAACTCCGTGTTGCCTAGACCACGGCCTTGCCCAACACAAGTTATAAATTCGAACCCGAGACCCCAGGATTACAAGACCAGCGTTCTAACCGCTAGACCACCACAGTAATATATTCACATTTAAATAAAAATTTACGATTCAGTATGGAGTATAGTAATTTATAATTTCTGAACAAGAATTGTTGGAAATACAGAAAATTATTAGTTTTAAAAAGTTATCCTACGTGGGGCTTCTTGGCAATCGGGTCCAACGGCCCCAGAGAAGAACGAAGTTTGACTTCCATGTCGTAGGATCTAACTTATTAACAGAAAACTGAATTTTAAAAAGCTCCGACCTCTTGCCAATGAATTCATACGTAGTTTGGCAGACAAGATATAAAGAAGTTACTATTTAGATACTTATAAATGTGGGGGCTGTTTCGTCAGACACAAATTCTCTGTAACCCTGCCTTCCGGTTCGCTGGGTCTCTAGTTTAAAATAGCTACGTGCAAGAAAGGTCTATCACGCCGTAGTAAACTTCTACCAAACTACCGTTTGCATTACAGAACACGGCTTGCCCTTTGATCAGCTAAGCACTCATTAAATTTCTCGCTCTATTTGCATGATACAAAAAAAAATCATTTTTCCCCCAGAAATTTTATAAAACCAGCAAATTCGTATAATTTTCAGACGCGTTAGTAACTTTGTAGAGAGCATATTAAAATCTGGTCGATTCTTCTATGAGTCTCTTCGTATGAATGAAACGATTCGAGAATGTGTATAAAGAGATTTTGATGAAATTTTACATCGCAAAATTTTACGAAAAAAATTGTCGTGTAATTTCAGTTTGCGTTTACGTCGTGCGATTTTAACTACTTTACCAAAGAACCAAAATACATTTTATATATATAACAGTGAATACCAAACCCATAATATTCATTGCTTAATCATTCAGTACCTAATTAGTTTTGATTTGAGTGATCTTAAGTAGAAGTCAGAACGTGTCGACAAATTTTTCGCGAGTCTGTTCAAGGTCATCGCGCGGATCCAGAAATGGCGTGGCTGACGGCAGACTTGCTAGCGAGGCGGGACCCCATGCCCCCAGAAAAATGCGCTGCAGTCTCGCGCCATTCCTAGCCGAGTTAATGCAAATCATGCCCGCCCTTCACTCACGCACAAACCGGAAGTGTGGCATATTCCATCCACGTCGGACTTCCTGTTCCCCTATTAGGGCGCGCGACGAATCACACTTTCAGGAGTGACATGCGGGTATCGCCGTCGCATCAACTGGCACGGTTATTTCGCTAGAGTCAATACGGTGACCCGGTTTATTCGGACTGCGGCGTCTGGCGAGACAAATTGGATGTTGCGGCAGCGAAGTGGAAAGAGGGTCACTGGCACGAGAACTCCCGTGGCGTAGACCCCAGTGTCAGCAACGCGTTGGTTCCTGAACGCTCACAAACACGGCGTAAATACATACACCACCTGCTTTTAACATTAACTAACTCTGCATTCTGCCACACAGTGCACTTATTTATGTCTTTCGTACGATTTCCAATGCATACAGCGATTATTTCCCTAAACGTTGTCATGGAGACGAACTGTGGTTTCTTTGAATACAGAGGCATCCGGATTGACCTGCGACCGTGGTTTTCCTCGGTATTAGAACAAATGCTGACACTAACATCCACACGATTCTGCTCTCCCAAGGTCAATAACAAAATTCAAAATTTTAACATTTGCAGGCATGACTTAGCGACGAATTTACAGATCACTACGCATGCGCCCTGCCTACTTCCAAGTTAAATTTCTGCCTTGCGAATACAGAATCGCGTCACCTAGCGCCACAACAAAACTTTTGGGCCCAGAGGCATCAACAAGCGAAAATAACATTTTAATGTCGATATTTAGAACAAAAGTTACACGTCGATGGACAGATCTCGTGGGTTCAAATTCGACTTAACTGCACGCCGGTTTTTAACGACAGATAAAACCCAAAAAGTCGAAGTAAACCTAAATTTAGTAGTGGTAGTTCCCCAAGTAACACCACAGCAGCTACCCAGGGAACACAACCCTCAGCCACCTTAATCCAACGCACGAGACTTTCTGTCAAACGACGTCTCCTCGCTTGCTGATTACCCGTAAGACCACTCACAGCCCAGAGCTGCATTCCAACATCGCTGGAATCCATCTCCTTGACGGTCTTCCAAGTGGACGTCTTCTCGCCATCCCATCTCAGCCCCCCAGAACTTCATTCTCCCATCGGTGACTCCCAATTACAGGTCTGAATGGAACAATCCAACCGCAGGAAATCACTTGCTACAGAGCTTCAAACGCTCCCGTTAACTGCCCTCGAATTCTGCTTGGCGTCTGTGACTTTGTTCCAGTTACAGTCGAGAAGAG